CAAGTGGGAAAACCCAAGCGACAGCTTTGACTTTGATTATCAACACTGAAAACTTTTGCAGAGCGCGATGCTTAGCACGATGTTGACTGGTCGAAGTCTCTTTGTTGTTGGTCGGAAAGCACGGGAGATCACTTCGCCCACTGCCTCATCGCCTTTGAAAATGTCCACCGCAGTTGTGGACGAAACGTCAGGAAGAAATTCCGATAGACCACGGCTTCAAAGCCCGGAAAACATTCCTAAATGTAAAAATGAAACGGTTTAGCCGCAAACTTCCGTGCCGTATAGCGTGAATAACCCTGTATAAATGCTTGCAAACAGACAAGAGCAATATGAAAAATCAAACCTGTATCTCTCCACAAACTGGTGAAACTTCATCCGGATCGGATACCCAGACTGGCGAATCTTGATGGTGTCCAACATGCCGGCGTTCCTCAACTGCTCCATCACCACAGGCATGTCGAACCTCATGGGCGTCTTGTCGTTGTTGGGTTTAAGACAGCGCACGAACCATGGGTTGCATTTGGACATGTTTTCCAGAAGCTGTTGCAAGCTGTCGCTGAATCGGGCAGCGACTGTAGGCGTGCGCGGCTTCATCGTAACAAAACGGCCTGGAAGCACCGTAGGGAAGATGCTGGCTACAGTTCGGCCGTGCGGACTCACCATTGGCTCCCTTGGGCAGGGTCCTGCTTTGCGATTGGCTGCTCAGCGGCTTGGCGATGGCACCAACCAGAGGCTCTTTGCTGGACGTTAGCAGCTCGATCACCTCCGGCCTGAGGATGTCGCGGTTCTTGTCCAAAAAGCCGTCCACCGAGTACCAGACCTGGCCGGCAAAATGCCGGATCTGGAATAGAAGCTTTAGCAAATGCTGCCGAACAGTTCAGCCTGAACAGAACTTACTGCAAATTCCCTGCCCCCTACGCGCGGCCTGCAGTAGTTCTCGTTAAGCGCATGGTTGTAGTGGCACTTTTCCAGGAACGAAGTGTCTGAAGCCCTGGGGAAGTTGCTTTCATCGTCCAGAAGGTGGAAGATGCCCACTGGCTTCTTGCCCAACAGCTACAGATTCACTCTTCAATACAGTCGCACCAGATTAGCAGGGACGTTTACCTGGATCACTGGAGTGTTGTCGCTCCAAGCCAAATTCGTCCATTCCAGCCGCTCTTTGGCATACTCCTGCTGCTCCAACTTGAAGACGTGCTTGTTGAAGTACAGCTGCAGCGACTCGGAGGCGTAGTTGATGCAGAGCTGCTCAAACGAGTTCTCGCTGAGGTTCTCAAAGCCGAAAATATCCAGCAGACTTATTCTAGCTGCGTCCTGCAGCCCCCCACGTTGGATGATCGAGTTCACTCGGGACACCAACCTGCGTGGAACCAACACTGCTGATGCTCGGAGGGCGCAGAAGTACAGAAAACGACCTACCAGTTGAAAAGGGCGGCGTAAAGGGCCTTAGCAAAGGCGTCGCGAGCGTCGAGCGCTTGATCGATGCTGAGCGGAGAGAAAACGCGTTCTGCTCGAGCTTCAGTGATCCGCGAAGTCAGCGCTCGCTGCAGCCCATTGGCTGAAATCTGCAGGAGATGCGCTGCCCACTTGATTTCCACATCGGAACCTACTTCAACGCCTTCTTGGCCGTGCCTGCAGTTCAAATGGAATTTTTTTTGATGCTTCGCATTGAATCGAGTCGAATTTTGAGGCAAAACTCTCTGAAAAACGCTGTGCTTGCGCTCACGAAAAATGTATTTAGCAGATTAATCACGACGGGAAATTTAATGAAAATATTCTAAGCGTGTGGTACGGAAAAGTGTCGTGTAAATCATTAGGTCATTGCATTGTTTAAGCGTAAATATGCAGAAGAATTTGTCTTTGAATGCGTGGGCTGGACAAGAAAGTCCTACCAGCAATCGGTACAAGGGTGATGACTAAATGCGTGTTAACTGTTGAAGTAAATGCTAAAATGCAGATTTTATCATATGGAAAGATGAGCAATTAAGCCTTCAATACTGTCCTTCTGTTTTTAAAGGCCAGTTTCAGAAGTACCTACGGCATCGAACTCACTAGAAAACATTGTAGAAGTTTCAGATCGGAAATAATAGATATTTTCGGGACATTTTAAGAGTTTTTTGAGCCTTCACGGTCTTCAATCGACGATTTCTTCCTTATTATTGCCCCAAACGCTTGATAAATTCATATTTGTGACCTTCTTACGTCGAAAAGTATCGATTGTGCTCAAAAAACACGCATGTAAAATTTTGATTTTTGGTCGAAAATTTTCCAAGGGTTGGGGTTGATTTTCTGGAAAAATTAAAATTTTCTCAAAATGTCTTAAATTTTACATAATTGTCAGCTCGCGAAAGCGAGGAATGCATGGAACTCATTGGAAAACACGGTAG